CTAAAGGCACGTGCCACCATGCCCAGCTTATAATGTGAATAGGACTTCTGCTTCTAATCATGAAAGAGCAAAGGTCCAGAATTACCCTCCTACTATAAACACACAGAAAACTGGACAAAATAAATACAACTATGTTGTAGGCATTGGACAACAGGTAATACAAGGTTATGATCCCTGAGAGAAAGGAAACCAACAAGGTAAGCACTACCATCACAGTGACTTTCTTTTTGGAAGTAATTTTTAGCCCACAGTGCAGGGAGAGGGAGCCAAGACATAGTCCAAGGTCACTCTAAATTGAAGAAGCAGAGATCAAAGTTGAGGGAGGCCAGGGTGGCTAGAGTAGAGCAGAACACCAGAGAGGAGAGAGATACCCGAAGAAAATATTCTAAAAATCTGTATAATGGCTTCCTTGAGCCTTTGGCAGAATACTAGTTGGCACACGTGCTTAGGGTGAAACTCCACAAGGCCAAGCAAAGAACAAATTTTAAGGAAAGAGAAACTACCAGCCACTGTAAGTTCTTAAAAGTTCATAAAGCTAATGCAAGGCTGGGAATCTTTCAAGTTCCCAACAGCTGGAGTAAGGTGACCTCATTTAATACACAGCACATTCAGTGGAAATCCCAGAAGGATCACATCCCTTAGTAGTGGAACTAAAGTAGCCCTAGAATAAAGATTACTTTAGAGCTATCCTAGAAAAGCTTAAAAACAGGCTTCAAAGAGATGAAACTGTTTCTTAAGTAGCTTAACTAACTGCTAAAACAAAGTCCAACACTACTTAAAGGAAGAAAACAAAATTTAACACAAAGAAAATCACAATGGACACCATCTAGTCAAAGATCACTAGACATGTGAATAAGCAGGAAAATGCAACCGAAATCTAGAAGATTAAGTCAACAAAAACAGACCCAGAAATTGCAGAAATAATGGAGTTAACAAGCAAGGATGCCAAAACAGCTATTATAAATATGCTAAATATGCTCAAGGATTTTTTAAAACTTGAAGGTAATAAATAGAGAAATGGAAGTTATATAAAAAGAACCAAAGGGTGATTTCTCTCACCCATGTCACTAGCTCTGGCATGTCTCCCTTTGTTTTCTCCCTTCTTTCTCTAAGAAACTTTGTTTTAAAACTTAAAAAAAAAAAAGTAATTTATAGAGATGAAAAAATAATGACTGAAGTAAAAATATTACAGTAGAGATCAACAGCAGACTAAATAATGCAGAAGGTATCAGTGAACTTGAGGACATAATAGCAGATGTAGAAACTATATCCTTTCATCTCAACCACCATGTAACTTACATGTTTTCAATGGCAATTACCTGTAGATTCATTATAGCAGATTTCCCATTTGGATGGGAAAGTTTTGTTTTCAATGGCAACAACATGTAGATTCATTATAGCAGATTTCCCATTTGGATGGGAAATTTTAGTAAAATACAAATATCTGTCAAATCAAATAGTCACATAGTGGGTATAGAAATACAGGTGTGCCAGGATCTTGTGTAGTTTACTGGTTCCAAACCAGTGTTTCTCAGTACCGCACAGGTGGCTCTAGCTGAGCCCACAAATTACATGTGGTTTAGAATTCAATCTCTCACAGGAGGCAGTATTGATCTATAGGCTGGGGCAACAGGCAGCTCAATTCCAGGCTAAAACTCTGGGCAAGGAATAGAGTAGCATTTTTCAGAATCGTAGCCTTAATAAGGAATCCTGCTTTCCAAATGGTTCTTTCACCAAGACTCCTACATTCTCATAGATGTTAATACTTAGCCTCTAAAACATATATCTGGTCCAGATTCCTGCCCTTGACACAGAGATGAGGAGGACGATGTGGGAAGGAGACACCTCAAATTTTACCAACACTATGGGTCTTTTCACTTTGGGTGATTTCCTCTTCTCGTATTTGAACTAGGTATATAGCTTCTTGTCCTTAACGTTTAAATATTTTATCCAACATTTCTAAAGTTTTGGAGTGGAAAGAGAGGATTCCTATATCTGCTCAGTTTATCTTCTTGGCCAGAAGTTCAACATATAACCTTTGTAATAAGAACCAATAAGAGTACTATCAAAAGATAAATAAAGCAGCAGCAGCATAGTCAAAGAAGCCATGTCTCCATGTTCCAATGAATTGTGAGAAGAAAAGTAATCCCAATTTTTTAAAAAAACTAATAGTAACCAAAAAAATGTTCTGAGGATTGAGAATCTGAACTTAGCCTTCAAAACAATCATGACCCTCTCACAATACTTCACTTATCTAAAAAAATAGCTTATAGTAAATATCACAATGTTTTCCATTTTAATAAAACTATGTTTTTATTAAGTATAATACTTCAAAACAGATTTCATTATTCCCACATTACAGTTACACAAAATATAATTTGTCATTCAGATATTATTTCAATGATAAAATTACCTTTGTGTTTATTTAGAAGCTTGTAGCCCTCACAATATCTGCCTGATGAAGTCATCATCTTGGCTGTGTCAAGATAAGAGTATGTTGCAGCAAAATCAAACTCCTTTTTACCATCCCACCAACCTTTCTGCTTAGCGTAGTTTCTTATGTCTGGGTGTTCCCGATCAATCTTGGTTGTTATAGAAAGCTGATTAGAAATATTACGAATTCTCTCTATTTTCAAAGAAGAAGAGGGGAAGGGGGAAAAAAGTCATATTTAACATAAAGTGTCTATTTGTACATTATGATTCTTAATCATTTTAAATGTAAATACAGACTTTTAAATTTTGTGCTATGTGATCTATTACACATTTAAAAAGATAAATTAATTACTTTCTTAAACTTTTTATTTTGACATAATTATAGGTCCACATGCAGTTATAAGAAATAATACAGGCCGGGCTTGGTGTCTCAGCCTGTAATCCCAGCACTTTGGGAGGCCGAGGTGAGTGGATTGCCTGAGCCTGTAGGTTCGAGACCCACACGGGCAACTTGGTGAGACCTTGTCTCTACAATAAATAAAAAATTAGCTGGGCATGGTAGCACACGCCTGTAGTTCTGGCTACTTGGAAAGCTGAGGTGGAAGGATCATCAGAGCCCAGCAGGTCGAGGCTGCAGTGACCGGAGCATGCCGCTGCACTCCAGTCTGGGCAACAGAGTGAGACTCCAACTCAAAAAAATAATAATAATAATAATAATAATAATACAAAGAGATACTGTGTACCCTTCACCCAGTTTCCCCCATAGAAACATCTTGCAAAACTGTAGTATAATATCGCAACCGGAATATTGGTATTGATACAAAGTAAAGAATACTTCCACCACAAGGATCCCTCATGTTGCCCTTTTATAACCAAATCCACTCATCTCCCACCCCCGGTCCTTCATTCACCCCAGGCAACCTCTAGCCTGTTCTCCATTTCTATAATTGTCATCTCAAGAATGTTATGTAAATGAAATAATACAGTATATAAACTTTCGGCTTTTTTCACTCAGCACAATTCTCTGAAGATTCATTTAGGTTGCTGTATGTATCAACAGTTCATTCCTTTTTATTGCTGAGTAGTATTTTATGGTATAAATGTAACTACAGTTTGTTAATCATTCACAAGTTAAAAGACATCTGAACTGTTTTCCAGTTTTTGGTCATTATGAGAAAAGCTGCTATAAATACTTGTGTCCAGGTTTTTGTGTAAATATATGTAAGTTTTTACTTCTCTAGAATAAATGCATATGAGTGCAACTGCTAAGTTGTATGGTAGTTGCGTGTCTAGTTTTTTAAAAAAACTGCCAAACTATCTTCCAGAGTTGCTGGCCATACATTCTTACTAGCAATTATGAATGATCAAGTCTCCATATTCTTGCTAGCATTTGGTATGCCATTATTTTTTTTTTAGCCATTGTGATAGAAGTATAGTGAAATCTCATTGGAGTTTTGTATTTCCCTTATGGCTAATGATACTGAGCACCATTTCATGTACTTATTTGACATCTGTATATTCCTTTGGGCAAAATGTCCCTTCATATCTTTTGCCTGCTTTCTAGTTGGATGACTTGTTTATTGTTGAGTTTTAAGTGTTCTGTATATATTCTAGATATTAGTCTTTTCTATTAATTACTTTTTTAAAAAAATAGTCATATTTAAATCTAAAGCAGAAATATAAGACTTCCAAAAAATTTTATTAAGCTATTAACAAAATTTTAAACCAAAATATGAAAAATAAAAGCATGTTCCAGCCTGGGCAGCGAGACCTCATCTCTACAATAAATCAAAAAATCAGCTGGGCGTGGTAGCGTATGCCTGTAATTCCGGCTACTTGGAAGGCTGAGGCGGAAGGATCACCGGAGCCCAGCAGGTCGAGGCTGTGGTGGCCAGGAGCGGCCACTGCACTCAGTCTAGGCGACAGAGTAAGACTCCAACTCAAAAAAAAAAAAAAAAGCATGTTCCAAAAAGACTATAATAAATGAAACAGCTCATAATACATGAACATTGATAATTTTTTAAAAATTTACTTTTTAGAGACAGAATCTTACTCTGTTGCCCAGGCTGGAGTGCAGTGATACGATCATAGCTCGCTGCAGCCTTGAACTTCTGGGCTCAAGAGTTCCTCTCACCTCAGCCTCCCAAATAGCTAGACTATAGGTGCAGGTCACCAAGACTGATACTGTTTTAAAATCAATTAAAATGACAGCCTGCCAAATACAAATCAATTAAGTTACTTTAATAAAGTGATACTTGGAATATTTTCACTGCAAAAACCACACTTGAATCATGACAGAATCAAAGGTAGAAAAAGAATTTTCTAATAGATAATTCCCTATAGTTTAACAATTAAGTTCTTGGGCTCATTTAGTAATAGAAAGAGATAACAGTTGGCAAAATTAATCTATAACTAAATAATCGGACCCATCGAAGGTGTTCATTCTGGATAGCCAGGTGGGACTTTTTCAACAGAATGTATTTATTCATTTCTCTTTTGCATGTAGCACATTTAATAAAATAAAAAGAGTTCAATCAGGCCAAATATCACAATTAGAAAAAACAGTCTAAGTTCAATGTTGTTTGTTAATAATCATGGATGCAAAGAATAAAATGTCCATTAAGTCACTGGCAATGACCTATTTTGAAAAATGACATCCAAATCCTCTAAAGCTGAAGCCTGCCTTCATGAAGGCTTTCTGAACTCCTCTAGCTCACAGTAATCTTTCCTTATCTAAATGTTCACAGTCTGTGTGTCTGTATAATTCATGCACCATTTAACATTTTCACATGTGTATCTTATCTGCCTAATAAGGTGAGGAGTCCAGGAGGTAAATACACAAAAAGCACATGTTTATGCTTGATCACAAGGCTGTGCTTTAGTGAAAGAACACTGAAGTAAGAATCAGGATTGAAAGAGTTAAGTTCCAAGTTTTTCATTCACCACCTTTAGTCACTTTATATCTCTGGCTTTGCTCACTTGAAAAATTAAAGGAATATATGATCACAAAGAAACCATGGGAAAGAAAAGTCAAAGCATTCGAAAACAATTGAATTGTATTGTTTTATTCAATGGCATGAATGTGTATGTTTTACTACTGTCTTAATATATCCTTTCTAACCACTAATCTATGGATATCTGTCCCTAACCACACTCCCACTTCCTCACCTCCACACCTACATGTAAGATTCTGGAACACAGCCCAAAGTTTAAAAAAAAAGAAAGGGTAAGGGATTGTTAGAAAGTGAAGAAGTACTAAAGACAGCCAAGAGCAGCTGCAAAGAAAGTAGATACGGTTAGATGACATTCATATTCCCAGAGATAATGCTACCTATTTACCTTTTTCAAGAAGGCTCTTTATCGTACTCTTTTACTGTTCTTTACAATTTTTAAATTTCCCCTGCAGTTCAACCCTTTGTTGCACTATATTATAAGTCTTGAAAGACAATTAAATGCAATAGCTGCAGTTAAGGGCATATTTTACTAATTGGAAAACAAATTAAATCACAAAAAGTTGCCCATACCTTGTACTTTTTCTGCTGCCCAGTACTTCCCTGCAGTCTCCAGAATCCAGGCTTCATTCCTATCAGCTATCAGGAAACTGTTGTGATAACTAAATAACATACTACCCTCTGTACAGTTTCCACCCTGGCCATATTTTTCTAGTAGATCAACAATGACATTTAGGGCTTTTTCAGCTGTATCAGCTCTTTCAAGGCCAAGTCTAAAATAAAAATATTAAATTTCTCAGATTAAAATACATTTCTATTATTTTTCTTGATAATTTCATGCTCATGAGATTTTATGTATCATTCAAAGTAAAAATTCTTTCAGTTAACAGATAAAACGAAATCTAACCTTTAAAACTTTTCTTTCTGAAGTCAGTTTGGAATCATGAAAATAAAGTTTCTAGAGTCAAACACACCTATATTCAAATTCCAACTTGGTAATTTTTTGGCAAGTTACCTTAACCCATAAAATAAGCATAATAACTCATTACTGTGAGACTTAGTTAAGGTATGGTAAAACACATTAGGTACCTCCAATGAATCATAATTTCCAACCCCTTCCCTTCTCCCAATTAAATAATCTGAGAGTAATGAAAATGCATGCTGGTAGTCTAAAGCATTTTTGACACAAACTATAATGTATCAAAGTTCAAAAAATAAATAAAATAGGTAAGAGTTACATCAAAATTTAAAATCTAGACAAGTTCTCTAAGTGCAAAATGTAATAGAAAAGCCACCTGACAAGGTCCATGCCCAACAGTGCTTCTTCATTACAAACTTCTTCTCTTCCCCATACAGCCTCATTCCCAATGCAAACTCCATGCTCATTGGCCCCCATTTCTGCCCCCCACAACCAAGCTGGGCGACTAAGCACAACAGCATATGTTTCAGGAACTTGCTCAATTTCTATATAAGTACACTGCAAAAAAAAAAAAAAAAAAGTCATAGCAAGAACCACAAAACCAGAAAAGTTATCAAAATCCAGAATTTAAAAAAATCAATCAGAAGACATGACCATTATGAAAGATGTAAATGAAATATAACTCAATTGAAATTTTCAATAATAAAGATATTACCTTTAAAACATATTCAGAATTGACCTAAAGCATTTATTCATTCAAATACTTGCTGAGCATCTCCCATTATAAAGCCCTTTGCCAAGAGACACATTAATTATAAAGATGAAACAGATACAGTCCTCACTTTCAAGAAACTGACTTGTACATTAACTAAGACACAACAAAATATAAAGTATAAGGGCCATAAGGGGATGTTAACATGAGGCATCATAGAAGCTCAGATGAGACGGTTTCTAGTTGTGATATCTTGAAATATTTTCATAGAGGAAGTGTATATGAGTTGAAGCTTAAGGAAGCAGTTCTCAACTTCAATGTTCAGTGTTTCTTGATTAGTGATATAAGTACCCATAAGGTAGCCCTTAAATTCAAGTGTACTGCCATAGAATCCCATGTCACATGTCAAAGTAATTCATCAGGTATGTCCACCACCATGGAAAGAATGAGAACCACAGATTTACAGAATAGGATAGATTTCAATATGAAGCAATAAAGTGGAAATGGTATCATGGATGAATAAATAGTCTAAGTAAAAGAAAGAAAATATGGCATAGTATACAGAAAAAATCCAATATTTAATATATTTTAATATTAGACTATCAATAAAATAAACTCAAAAAGTATAAATTAACAACAAAAGCATAATATGAAACTCACTGTAAGTTCCATGTTAAATGGATTTTTAAAGTATATCTTTTCATTAATGTATATACTTCCAAGTGACTGCATAAAATGCATGCTGATAGTGTTATTGTGGGGCCTAAGAAATCTTTTTTGATGTGTTATAAAACTGAAAAGGAGAGTCTGGAGTGACTTTCATTTTCTACATCAATCAGAACCTACACCTACATCAACTCAGAATCAAAATCCATTTTGTCCATCAAACTCCAGTTAACCATGACTCCTATGAAGCCTTCCTTGATCCTTAATCTGAATTTAGTGTTCCTTTTCCTCTGCTGCCACAGCATATTCCTTTACTTCGATTTAGCATTTAAACCACCCTCCTTTATGATAGGGATAGCTGCTTACATATCCTATTTCTGTGCTAGACACTAAGCTTCTGGAAGACAGAATCCAAGCCTTGACAGCTGGCTTTAAATCCCTTGCCCTATCTAATATGCTTGCAAATGGAAAGCATTCAAATATTTGATCAAAGAGTAAACACTTTTTATTTCTGTTATTTGTTTCTTCCAAATCACTGAAAATAAAAGACCAGCAGTTTACTTCTGACTCAAATTTTAAATTATATTTAAATTCTTGAATGTTAACTTCTATAGTCTCTGCCAAATTGCTAATGATAGGAATGACTTTATGATATTAAAAAACCCGTATTGCTAACAAAACATGTATTTCACCTACCTTAAGATGTTCTCCCAGGTTATGAACTGCAGCAGGAAAATAAACTACCTCTTGTACCTCATCGCAGAGTCTATCTGAGTTTTTTCCAAATATAATCCTGTTATCAACTGTTGCTGGAGGTAATGCCACAAAAGTGTCACAAGAAAAAGGTTCCATTTTTCTTTTGAAAAACAAAAAATCATACAGAAGTTTTAAAATAAAAAAAGAGAAAATATTTTAAAGTTTATAAAAACAAAGACTTTTACTCAGTGACCAAAGGATGTTATTGCCATATCTACTTAAGGATGTTCATTAAAGTTTTAAATTTCATATACTGTAGTAAAAAAAATCAATAAGAATATGACCGGAGACTCAATCTTTTATTACAAGAGTCAGTGAGAAAACAGCAATGAGAACCACCTTCTTCTAATCTATAGTTCAAATTTACTCTTTAAGATCTTTCTCTCCTGACCTCTTCCCTGAATATGCTTTCACTATTTCCATATTTGGAGATCCCTGTATCTAGCTCTACTGTTGTAAAGGCTATATTATACTATAATTATGTACATATTTGTGTATATATATATATACAAATATATATATATTTGCGTACATATTGCATCCCTTTCTGGACAATGAGATTCTTGAGGGCTGGGAGTTATGTCTTATTAATCTTTGTATTCTCTTTGCTGGAACTTATGGGAAAAAATTCCATTTAGCCAGTTTTTCCTCAAAGAAGGAAAAAGGGATCTCCTTCAAGTTGGGGAAGAATACACACAGATTATAATACTAATAAAACTGAAATTTTGTAACATACTCACTGATTCAAACCAAAAAATGTCAATATAATTCCAAATTGTTGATATTTCCAGGAGAAAGTTCACATATATAATTTTAAAATCCTGGTTATATAATTTAGTATCTAAATGCATTTGTATTTTGGAAAATCTTAAATCCTCAGTTTTAGTAATACTCTTAAGTGTCCGGTATTTTTATTTTGCTTTCAGAATGAACATAGTTACAGAGTTTCCTTCTTTCCCTTATTTAATAATGTCCAAACATTAGAATGGCTTAGCACAAGCAGATGCTAGCAATTTTAAAATAAAATTTAAATGTAACAAATGTTTCATTAAAAAGAAAACAAAATGACTAAAGAAACAACTTCAGCCTGAAACTACAAGGAGTTTTTCTCTTCCCGGTAATTGGAAGACAGCAATCACAATCTTTTGCTATTTTGTGTATTTCAACCTTTATGTTCTGGAACTCCTTCTGTTTGGGTTCCAGAGTTAGTTCCACCACTACATAACTTTGCCAGGCTATTTAATCTTTAACATGGTGAGACCTCGTTTCTACAGTAAATCAAAAAAATTAGCCGGGTGGTAGCGCACGCCTGTAGTTCTGGCTACTTGGAAGGCGGAGGCAGAAGGATCGCAGTGGCCCAGCAGGTCAGTGCTGGGGTGGCCGTAAGCATGCCACTGCACTCCAGTCTGGGCGGCAGAGACTCCAGTTTAAAAAATAATAATAATAAAACAATCTCTCTCTATGTCTCCTGTCTCACTAGTAAAGTAAAAGATACTATTTGATGGGGCTATCATGAGAATTTATAAGAAGTAGAGCGTTCTGCAAAGTGTTTGAAACATAGTAGACACATGCAAAAGCTGTTAATATTATTTCATAAAAGAGTAAATTTCTCACAAAAGGCTTATTTTTTTATTTGAGTCAGGGCCTCACTCTGTTGCCCAGGTTGGAGGGCAGTGGCATGATCACAGGGCCACAGCCTCGACTTCCTGGGCTCAGGTGAACCTTCTGCTTCACTCTCCCAAGAAGCTGGGACTACAGGCGTACACCACCACACCCAGCTGTTTTTGATTTTAGAGACAAGGGCTGTCTTTGTTGCCCAGTCTGGTCTCGAACTCCTGTACTCAAGCAATCCTCTTGCTTCGGCCTCCCAAAGTGTTGGGATTACAGGCGTGAGCCACCATGGTTTATTCTTAACATCACCCCTAGAGGACTTGGTTGGTGAATCACCTACAACAGTAGCACCCACCTCCACTCAAACCATGGAGTCCCAAGGGCTATCAAGCTTTGCTAGGTATCCTGAGCTAACTGGGGTCGTAGGGAAAGCTAAGGAAACGTGCCGCCCTGTTCGAAGGGCGTGTAGTTCATGAGGTGAAGCCTTGAGAGCCTTTACTAACGCCGAACGCAAATTCATCATTCAGCAAAGGTTTGTTTATTGAACATCTCTCTGTGCCAGGCACTGTACAGCTGGAAACAGCCAGGTACAAAATAGACAGGGCCTCTACTCGTGTGGAGCCCGCTGTCATTCTATTTTATACACTTTTAGTTCACCGAGCACTTTCAGGAACATCACAGGTGTTGGAGCCTCACAAAACGTACCACCGTTATGGTGAGAACTACTATCTCCATAACACAAACGAGAAAACCGGTGCAGAAGTTTTTGCAACTCGAGTCAGAGTTCAAAGAAAGTAATGGGCTGTGCCGAGCGTGGTGGCTCACGCCTGTAATCCTAAGGCTTTGGGAGGCCGAGGCGGGAGGATCGCTGAGGCTAGGAGTTCGAGAGAAACCTAGGCAACAGAACGAGCTCCTGTCTCTACAAAAAATAAAAATTAGCCGGGCGTGATGGCGCGCGCCTGCAGTCCCAGCTACTCTGGAGGCCGAGGCGAGAGGCGAGAGGCTCGCTTGAGCCCAGGAACTTCAGAGGTCAAGGTCAAGGCCGCAGTGAGGTATGCTCGCGCCACTGCACTCCAGCCCGGGCGACAGAGCGAGACCCTGTCTCCAAAAGAGAGAAGAAAATCGTGGGCTGGAACTTCAAGCACCTCTTGCAGAGGAGCCGCCGCCGCCCACCCCGCACCTCCGCCGGCAGCGCTCAGATGGCAGCTGGCGCAGCTGGGCTCGTGGCTCCCAGTCAAGCAGCGCCCCGTCCCAGTCGGTCTTCCTAGATCCGACCTCAACTCTGCACGCCCCTTCCCCGTGCACGCCCCTCACCTTGCCTCCCTGCTACCCGAAGTGACAGGGGGTTAGAAGCGGGGGGCGGCGGGCGCAGGCGCCAGTCGCCGGAAGTTGTCACCTTTGACCTCGGAAGTTCCCGCTGCCGCTGGTCGCGCAGTTCCGGTTCGGCAGCAGAGTTTGTTTACGTTCGGCTTAGGTCTGAAGGCTGCTTTCCCTCCTCCGGCTCCAAGATGGGGAAATCGTTCGCCAACTTCATGTGCAAGAAGGACTTTCATCCCGCCTCGAAATCCAACATCAAAAAAGTGAGTAAAGAGACCCCGGGAGGGAGCTGGGCCTGGAGGCTGGCTTCCCAGAGGCTGCTGGAGGTGGGAGTGGTGGTGCCTCTGACATCTTCCCAGGACAGCCCCCTCTTCTCCTGGCCTAAAGCCCTGGTGTTCTGGCCCCTTCTTCTCTGCTGAGCAACTCGCCGATGAAGCGGGTCCTCGAAGTTTATTCTACATCGAGGAGACGGGCGGCCTAGGAGCTTTTTCGGCCGGAGTGCAAATCCACATAACATGGAGACTGATATTAGAGTTCCTTAGCGGATTCTGGTTTGGTTTTTACTGATCCCAGGGATCACGGCTTCTGATCGATGATCTTCTGGACAAAGAAGACTCCAGTTTATTTAAGATGGAGCTTAAAAGAGAAATCTACTCGATAATGTAGTGTCTGTTTGATGACCTCATTGAAGTTTAACGTCCTAAATACTTACAAGTCTATTGGGTGCCGTACTTTGCTGAATCTCATAGCAATCAAAAAGCAAATGGTGACATAGAAAGAATTAGGGCTTTAGAATCAGATCTGGATTCGAGTTACTCCAGCACGGTCACTTTAACCTTAAGACATTCCACAAAATATTTAATATCTTTGTTTCTCAGTCTCCTAACCTATAAATTAAGGATGATTGAATTGTAAAATTGTGACGATTAAGTGAAATGGTGTAGATAAAGGAATTTGAAACAAAGTGACCACCTATTATTGTGCCCACTACATAGAGGAGATGCTCAATAAACTGTTAATTTCCCCTACCACTGACAGTAGTGGGAAACTGCCCGGGGAGGGGGGGTGGGATTGGCAGTCGAGGGAAACTGCCAGGGGAGGGAGGGGCACACCCCATCAACAAGGGTACCTGCATAATTGACATTTGTATATCTAACCCCGAATTTTACCCCACATCTTTAAAAAAAAAACTCCCCTACCTACAATCTTATGAAAATGAGTTAAGCTTTTAGTGGTTTTAAAAACCAGTTGTAGTGATGATGTTTTGCTATATACCCTCGCTTCAGACCACTATTTCTCAACTTTTTTCATTATTGCCTTCCTAAGAAATAGGCTATTTACACGTTTCTAATTATTCCCCCATGAAATTTTAATACTGTTTATCTGTTTATGACAATCTATGTAAACATTTACATTAAAAGAGTAAGATGATTTTTTTTGCCATCTCCCCCAGGTACCAATTATCTGCCCCTTGGGGGACAGCAATATCTTCCCTATTAAGAATGTATGCTCTAGCCATGAGTTTCTCAACCTCAGCATCACTCCTGTATTTAGTCAGCTAATAAATTCTATTGGGCTTACCTTCCAAGTGTCTCTTGAATCCATATCCAATGTCTGTCACTACTGCCTGTATCTTAGTTTTGACCTCATCACCTTTCACCAAGATTGTTGTCGTTCCTAACTGGTTTTTCTCCTTCCAGTCTTGACTCCTCTCAAATCTATTATCTACACAAGCATCAGAATAGTCATTTTTTGATAGCTTTACTGAGATAATTTCACATATCATACAATCACCTGTTTAAAGTGTACAATTCAATGAGGTTTAATATATTCATGGAGTTGTACAGTCATCACCACAAATAATTTTAGAACATTTTCATCACCTCAAAAAGAAACCCCCAAAACTGTTAACAGTCACTCCCTATTTCTCAACCCCCCACCCTGCCCCATTCCCATCTCTGGGCAAGCACTAGTCTACTCTGTTTCTGTGGATTTGCCTATTCTGGACATTTCAAATAAATGGAATCATGCAATACATGATCTTCTGTGACTGACTTCTTTCACTTAGCATGTTTTTGAAGTTCATCCATGGTAGAGTTTGTATCAGTACTTTATTCCTGTTTATTGCTGAGTAATATTCCATTGTGTGGACGTAAGTTGTTTCTCTAGACTAGTCTTTAAAGCACAAATCTTATCACTTCCAGCTCCTTATTAAAATTGTATAGGATTAAGTCCTAGCAGTCTGGCTCCATCTTATTTCTTCATTCCCTACTGCTCTTCCCACCTCAGGTTTTATATTCTGGTATATCAAACTACTTATTTTCTCTTTTACACCTTTGGACCTTTGCTTGAATTGTTACCTCTGCCAGTAATATCTTGTCCTGTTTTTTACTTGGCAGTCTTCATCTGTTTCAAAACCGTGTTTAATGTGTGAAGTTATCTGTTTATAGAGTTCTTTCTTGCAGCAGAGTTTGTAATAGCAGAATATAGGAAGTTTCTTAAACGCCCATCAGTACAGTAGGAGACTGCTTAAATAAATGATAAGTTATAGTATAACCCCATAATAGAATAATATGAAACCCCAACCCCCAAAAAGAGAAGAAAGCTTTTGTTTACTGATCGGAGAATTATCTGCATGGTATAGAATTTTATATGTATTCTCTTTGTGTATTTGTGAAGTATGTTACCACTTATTTAAAAAGAATGTATATATATATGTACATTAGACCATTTTGGGAAGGATATACAAAAATGTGTAACACTGGCTTCCTGTGAATATGGTTAGTTAATTTAGAATATAAATAACTTGTAAAAATTGCTATATAGCATTCTCTAATGCTGGTTTTCCCCATTGCCCCCCCAAAGTTAATCACTGTCGTGTTCTGTTTCTTTATCTTTATATATCTTTGGCCAAATAATCAAGCTTAATTATTATTTTTAATTATGAAATAATTTAAACATGCAGCAAAGTCATTATGATTTTCTACTAGCAGCAAAGTCATTATGATTTTTGACTAGCAGATTCTGAGGATTTTGAAGGCAGGAATATGTTTTATTACTTCTTATTCCAGTCCATGATAAGTACTCAATATGTATTTGGGCTCTTGAGCAATTGAGACTGAAATAACTTTGTAAAATCTAAAGCTTTAGATAAATGGTATTCTGTTATAAGTAGTATGTTATTCTGCCAGCCAATGAGGTCTTGCAGTTTTCTGTTGGACTGTTTACATTGTGGGCTTCAGTGAAAATTCCAGACATGTGCTGGAAGTATAGATTTTTCTCTTACTAGCAGTGGAATAAACTTTTAGAAACATGCTCCAAAAGAAATTTTAGATACATTCTGTTTTCAGCAGGTTCTTTTTCATTTCTATTTTTGTTTTTGATCTCCATATTCTTGTTGTTCACATCTCAAACTGTCCCCATAGACCCTTCCTATCTCAGTGCTACTACAATACAAATAACTACCCCTGTTTTGCTTTTAAAATTGAGTAATGGCAGTCTTGTCCCACACCCTCCTTCCCATACTTGTCTCCCCCCCCCACAGTTTATAGTTACAATTATCTCAGTGTAAGTGTCCTCAAACTTACATCCTTGAAACTTAGTGTGTTTGGATAGAAAGGCTTGACTTACTGTTTATGTTGAATGGTTGTCAAACACAAAGGCAGGAGATACAGACACTGGGTACTGCTAAAAGAGGGAGGGAAGGAGGATAAGGGGCACACAACTACCCATTGGGTACCATGTTCACTACTCCGGGGGGAGAGGGCTTGCTAGAAGCCCAAATTTTGCCTTTACACAATGAACCTATGTAGCAAATCCTCACATGTACCCCACAACTGTAAAATAAAATTTTAAAAACCCAAAGGTGTGAAGATGTCAGGCACATGACCAAAAAATAGTTACATAGATTAAACATTCTGTGTAGAGAGATGCTTGTTCTGCTGTCTGAAATAACATAAGGACTGAGTGCAAGAAGCTGTTGTTCCACATATGCTCCGAGTGGTTCTCAAGTTTGACACTTTTGCCTGATAGCTTAGCGAGTTTGAAGGTTGGATTTAAGGCACAAGTCAGATTTTTCAGGGGTTATTTTGTGATGGTGTCATTATGACCAAATTGGATTATGTTGTCAACTGTAAGCAATAGCGTTTTATATTTTATTATAAAAGAAAAGCAGACTTCCTATTTAATTTAAGTCCAACTATTTACTTTACATTTTTTAACTTCACTAATTTAGGTATGGATGGCAGAACAGAAAATATCATATGATAAGAAGAAACAAGAAGAATTAATGCAACAGTATCTTAAAGAACAAGAATCATATGATAATAGGTAAGAAATTCTACTATACTGATGTTCTTAGAATAATCAATTTCATGAGATTGATTCCTTACTGAATTATATTAAGTCAGTTTTTTTTTAATTGAATGCCCAATGATAGGATTCTTTTATTTTTCTGTGAACTGTCTTTTTTACTCTCAAACCTATAGATGGCTGCCTTTTTCCAGCTTTACCCATAATTCACATAAAATATAGATTCATGTGACTCGTACAGTCAGTGAGCAAGTTTCAAATTAGGCAAAGCTTAGAAGAACAAGAAATATCTACACTTGAACTGCTGAGACCTCTTATAAAAGTATTTCATTAACATACACTCAAATGAAAAGATGTTCACAGGGCACCTTCAAGAAGAAAAGTAAACTGTCTTTATTTGACTTGTTCTGTTCATGGCTAGAGTTCCTCATTGGTTTCTTCCAGTGTGGTACCTACTCTTTAGTTATTGTGATTTTATGTTTGCAAATCTAGCACCAAAACTGGTTTCTCTTGGTTAATCAAGCAACTAAGCAGAGGTGTTTTAGTTATATAGACTGTACTCTGAGTTCAAGAATACTTGCTTTCATTTGAAACTCTGGAACAGGCTGGTCTCGGTGGCTCAGCCTGTAATCCCAGCACTTTGGGAGGCCGAGGCGAGTGGATTGCCTGAGCCTGCGGGTTCAATACCCACCTGGGCAACTTGGCTAGATCTCGTCTCTACAATAAATCAAAAAAAATTAGCTGGGTGTGGTAGCGCACACCTGTAGTTCCAGCTACTTGGAAGGCTGAGACAGAAGGATGGCCAGAGCCCAGCAGGTTGAGGCTGTGCGGTGGCCAGAGTGTGCCACTGCACTCCAGTCTGGGTAACAGTGAGACACCAACTCTCAAAAAAAAAAAAAAGAAAAGAAAAGAAACTCTAGAACAGAACTGTAAATTTTCCACAAAGATTGACTTTTTATCAAAATATGGAATTCAAGCAAAGTACTACTACACTGTGTTTTTAAATATAATATATTGCTATCCTATTTAAACTGCTCTTTAAAATATAATATATTGAGAGGAAAATTAAAAACTAAAACTCAGTTCAATTAAGTAGCTTTCTCACTAATTTTATTTAATCTTGTTAACTTCTGTTGAGTACCTGCTTCACTAAAGACAACAAATGGTGTTGTAAGGGCCTGTAAAAGTGTCTGAAACATAGTTTTTTTCTACCCCTAAGAAATTCTAATTTCGGGACCCACCTGGGCAGGCAAGACCTCATCTCTACAATAAATCAAAAAATCAGCCAGGTATGGTAGCACATGCCTGTAATTCCGGCTACTCGGAAGGCTGAGGCAGAAGGATCGCCGGAGCCCAGCAGGTCGAGGCTGCGGTGGCCGGGAGCGGCCACTGCACTCCAGTCTGGGCGACAGAGTGAGACTCCAACTCAAAAAAAAAAAAGAAATTCTAATAAGGAGTATATACATATATTAATACTTCAGGGCCAAATATAATGACTGATATATTAAAAACACTGCTTTTAAAAATTTAGCATGTTAACATAGGACTGAATAATTCCATTTGAGATAACAAGGGAGGACTTCATGAAAAAGGTGACATTTCAGCTGAACTATGAAGAATGATAAGGATTTAGATCAATGTTTCTCAACTGAGGGCCATTTTTGTCCCCCAGGGACATGTGGCAATGTTTGGAAACATTTTTTAGCAGCACAGCCAGGGAGCTGGGGTGCTACCAACGCCTAGTGGGTGGAAATTAGGGCTGCCACAAAACAACCTGTAATGCACAGGACAGCTCCACACAACAAAGACTTACCTAATCCGAAATGTCCATGGCATCACTATTAAAAAATTCTTATTTACATGAGAGAAAAGCTTATTAAAGATCAGTACACTGGGAAAATGGAGAGGGTAGCTGGGAAACAGCCAAGTGTTGCGCTAGAGTTATAAACTTAGAGAAGAAATGGAAAAATAGATTTGAAACAGATCATAGTTGTTCATGTTTATTCTTTATCTTAAAAAGAAGAGTTACTATTTTTTCCTTTGTAGTTAATTAATATATGAAGCTCTGCAAATCCTTGTTTCTCCTTAAACTTTTGCCCACTAATTTTAGCATTCATCAGTAACTCTTGCCTGTATCAATTATTTATTACTGTGGTGGTCTAATTGTTATTTTCTATTTCTCTTGCTCCCCCTACATTTGTTAGTTTAAATTCCTCTGGGCTGGGTGTGGTGGCTCATACCTATAATCCAAGCACTTTGGGAGACCAAGTCAGAAGGATTGCTTGAGCCCAGGAGTTCAATACCATCCTGGGCAACATAGCAAGACCCTGTCTGTATTTTTTGTTAAGTTAGAAGAAGAAGAAGAATTCCTCTATAAGGAAGAGTTTCCCTTATTTGGTTACTTAATCATTTATTACTATCAATATGGACTTGTGGATATTAATTTAATTATTTGGATTATAATCTAATACTGTTGTTATTTGTTTCCTTGCTACAGTCCTTTCTCTTTGGGCCACTGACAGCTCTGTCAGGTTGGCACCTATATCCATTTAATATGGCCCATCTCTGTTTTTTTAAAACTGCTTCTGGTACCACAAGATGTTCCAGACTCGTCTTATTTTTCCCTGCTCCAGCACAGGAATCAGCCAGTTTTCCGAGGAGCCCTGGCTTCTTTTATTGATAAATGCTATTTAGAAACCAGGATCTGGGAACTAAGTGTGTTCCTGCTACTGGGATATTATTGCTTCTAGGTTTGGTCATTTGACTGCAAATTTATGAGTGATTGGTCATTTGCAAAGTCATTTTTTTCTTCCTCATTCAAAAGTGTTTTTCTTGATAGTCAGCTTTCTCATTATCCCCAACAGAAACCCTGTAACCATTTAGTAGTAACTCCCTATTTCCCCTCCTCCCTGTCCCTGGAAACCACCATTCAACTTTCTGTCTCTATGAATTTGCCTATTCTAGATACCTCATGTAAGTGGAATATTATATTAACTTGTATCTGGCTTATCTCACTGAGCATAATGTGTTCCAGGTTCATCCATGTTGTAATGTATATCAGAACTTCATTCCTTTTTATAGCTGAATAATATTCTGTTATATGTTTATACCACCTTTTGCTTATCTAGTCATCTGTTTATGGAGTCTTGGGTGCTTCTACCTTTTGACTATTGTGAATAATACTGCTGTAAACATTGGTATAGAAAATTCTAGTCAAGTCCTTGTTTTCAGTTTGTTTGAGTATATACCTGAGGGTGGAGTAGCTGGGTCTCATGGTAATTCTATGTTTAGCTTTTTGAGAAACAACTAAACTGTTTTTCATAGTGACTGCATCATTTTACATTTCCTGCTGATAATTCACAAAAGTTCTAATTTCTCTACATCCTTGGCTAATATTTGTTTTCTTTTTTTAATAATAGCTTAATAGGTATGAGGTGGTACCTCACTGTGGTTCCTATTTGCATTTCCTTAATGACTAGTGATGTTGAGCTTTTCATGTATTTGATTTTAATTTTTTTTAAATGGTCTTAATTCAAAATAAAGATATAATTTACATACCTGTTAAAATGTATGTTTGTTGTTTTTAAGTATATTTAGAGTTTTGGAGACATCACCGTAATCTAATTTCAGAACATTTACATCATCTGAAAAAGACATTTCATACCCATTAGCAATCACTACCCATTCTCCCACCTTGTCCCCCTTGTACCTCTCATCCCTAAGCATCTATGAATCTACTTTCCGTCTCTATAGATGTATCTGTTCTGAACATGTCATAAATTAGGTCATACACTATGTAGTCTTTTGTGATCAGCTTCTTTCCCTCAGCATGTTTTGAAGTTGCCCATGGCATAAGCATATGCAGTGCTGCATTCCCTTAGAGTGTTGAATGATTCTCTGTATGGATGTGGATCCCTGCATCCTTTGCCTATTTTTTACAGTTCTTTGTGGAATACAACGGCAATGAGGAGAGGAATTGCAATTATGTAGTATATTTTTTGTGATTGCCATTTCCAAATACAAAAGGAAATTCTTCTCACTCTTTAGCCTTCTTTTTTATGATTAGTACTTTACTTGGATCTTATGAATTAAAATTTTAGGCCAGGCACGGTGGCTCAAGCCTGTAATCCCAGCACTTTGGGCGGTGAGGTGAGGAGATTCCCTGAACCCACAGGTTCGAGAACAGCCTGGGAAACTTGACGAGACCTCATCTCTACAATAAATCAAAAAATTATCCGGGCCTGGTAATGCATGCCTGTTGTTCTGGCTACTTGGAAGGCTGAGGCGGCTACTTGGAAGGCTGAGGCGGAAGGATTGCCTGAGCCCAGCAAGTCGATGCTGGGGTGGCTGTGAGCGTGCCACTGCACTCCAGGCATTAAAAAAAAAACAATAACAACAAAAAAACTTTAACTCAGCCTCCCATATCTCTTTGTTTGTAAACAATTCAAACAGGGTACTCTCACTGTTAAAACAGAATTAAAAAGAATATGATTTTTGGGGTATAGCTGACACTGATTCCATCATACTAATTGGCCTGTTGTAGAATTCCTTTTATTTCTTCTTCTTCTTCTTTTTTTTTTTTTTTTTTTTTTTTGAGTCGGGATCTTGCTCTGTTTTCCAGGCTGGAATGTAGTGGTATGATCGTGACTCACCACAATCTCAACCTCCTAGGCTCAGGTGATCCTCCCACCTCAGCCTCCCAAGTAGCTGGGACTACAGACATGTGCCACCACACCAGCTAATTATTTGATTTTTTTTGCTGTGTTGCCTAGGCTGATCTCAAACTCCTAGGCTCAAGCGATCCTCCTGTCTCGGCTTCCCAAAATGCTAGGATTGCAGGTGTAAGCCACCACACCAGGCCTAGAATTTCTTTAAAATGATTCTTTCTTCTTTGGCCTCACTAAAGAATTTTATTCTCTTGCTGGTTTTGACTCTTCCAAGCTTTAATTGGATTTGACGTCCTAAAGAAATCCCAAAGAGACTCATTTTTTCAAAACTATTTGATCCTTTGCAGTTAAGAAAAAGTATTGGTAATGTTTAACTTAATTCCAAATTTGTGATGGCATATAGGATTTCAAACCTGTCACTATTTCCACAGCATTTCAGAGTTTAAGAAATTCCTTTCTTTTCTTCTCTCCTTTTCTGTTGGAATAGCCAGAATCTCAAGTAGTAAGAAAATCTTAGAACTCAGAAGCAGTTACTAAGGAGGCAGCACTGTTTGATTTCTGTTCATATAGTTCAAGTGTGATCTAGTCAGTGGAGTAAAGTTTTAGAACTTTATCTGTAACAAAAATATTTTATCTTAATTCCCTTAGGCTTTCTATGGGGGGTGAGGAATATTCTGTAATTTTTTTTCCTCCTACGTAAAATGGTTAACTTTATGTCTTGTTTCAACCTAGATTGCTTATGGGCGATGAACGTGTAAAGAATGGCCTTAATTTCATGTATGAGGCCCCACCAGGGGCTAAAAAAGGTACTTGTTTCATTTCCTTTTTTTGTCTTTGATACATGTGCAACTAAAGTTTGAAAACTACTATGACAAATATTTTTTATAAGTTGCCCTTCTTTAAAATTGCTATTATTCTGTGAAGATAATAAGGAATGCCGTAATCATACAGCAAAATAAATACTAAAGATGTTTTTCTAATCTGGTAGTATTTCATGATCTGTCTTTTGGGGAGGAAAAACATCTCAGTAACAGAAGAAGTGCATTAATTCTTTCAAAATTTGTGTATATATCTTAGTCTTCTTACTAAATATACTTTAATTCTTTCATAATTTGTGTATATATCTTTAGTCTTCTTAATAAATATACTTGTAAATAGAAAACATAATATTCACTGTCAATGAACAGTATACACATTTAAAATTAGGAATTAACATACTTATTAAGTGTTACACCTTTTTCAGTATTGTGTTTTATCTTTCTGTGGTTTGAATTTTTATCTTGTAAAAGAATAAAAAAAGTCAAATCATTAAATTCTTGCAAGTTACAATTAAATACCATGGTATTGTACTGTAGTATATAGTGGACTATATTTGAAGTTTTTAACTTGTCTTGCCTTTTTACTCCCATGTTTTTTGATATGCAATCAAGAAAACAAAGAGGTAAAGGACTATTTTTCTATGTCTGAATTTACTTGCAATTGATTGGATTGTGATTTTATGGAAAAACTAAAAGAATTTTCAATGAATGTTTTTAGAAAGAAGAAACTGAAGGAGAGACGGAGTATAAATTTGAATGGCAGAAAGGAGCACCACGAGAAAAGTAAGGACTGATTTACTTTTAAGACGCGATATATATTGTTAAATTTATCTGGCTGAGCATGGTGTCTTATATCTATAATCACAGCACTATGGAGGAGGAGTGTTTGAGGCTGGAAATTTCAGACCAGTCTAGACAACATAGTGAGACTTTGTCTCTAGAAAAAAAACAAATAATTAGCCAGGCGTGATGGTGCACTCCTATAGTCCCAGCTACTCAGGAGGCAGAGGTGGAAGGATCACCTAAGTCTAGGAGGCTGAGGCTGTGGTAAGCCATGATCATGCTACTGCACTCCAGCCTGGGCGACAGAGTGAGACCCCAACTCAAAAAAAATAAAAGAGAAAGTAAAAATTTATCCGATGTCTTTTTTTTTTCTTTTTGAGTTGGAGTCTCTGTCGCCCAGAGTGGAGTGCAGTGGCCGCTCCCGGCCACCGCAGCCTCGACCTGCTGGGCTCTGGCGATCCTTCTGCCTCAGCCTTCCAAGTAGCTGGAACTACAGGCGAGCGCTGCCACGCCTGGCTAATTTTTTGATTTTTATTGTAGATATGAGGTCTCGCCAAGTTGCCCAGGTGGGTCTCAAACCCTCGGGCTTGGGCAATCCACTTACCTTGGCCTCCCAAAGCGCGGGATTACAGATTGAGCCACTGAGCCTGGCCCCGATGTCTTTTTATTCACTAGAGAAGGCAAATGATATAAAAAGTTATTTTTAATTATTTTATTTAATGATTTCAATTAGTTGTCTAATGCAAATAATTTGATGATAGTCTTTTGTTTTATATACTTTTTCACTTTTTTAACATTGTAAATTAGTCTATGGGTCTATTAAGTGTAATTAGTCTATTAAGACTAGACTTTAATAACTAAATGGTGTTGGAAATACTAAATAGATTTTATGGTTATATATACTTATTGAAGAATATATTTCATAATGCGCTTAGAACTATAACACTTTTGGATTAACTGCTGTTTAATTTATTAAATTATTCTTAATATTGTGTTTATATATTTTCTCTATTTAATAGATATGCCAAAGATGACATGAACATCAGAGATCAACCCTTTGGTATTCAGGCAAGTAACACGTATTTTACTCTGTAAGAATAATTTTTATTTAATAAACATTTCTTTATTATTGTTCAAAAGTGTTTAAGCTGAAAAGGGGCACTCTTAGTATCAGATATTATAAGGAATAGAGGAGAAAACATTAAATGTAATAGACTGATAGAACATAGGAATCAAACTTTTGTAGTGAGGGTTATAATGGTATTGATCTCTGTAGTTTTCAAATAATTTGGTGAATTAGTTCAAGTTCAAGAAAATATTTAAAACTATTATTGGTTTAGAACCATGACACAGTATCAGAGGGCCAAATCCTTGCTATAAGGAAAGTTTTATTGGAACACCACCTTGCTTACTCACGTACATGTTGTCTACAGTTGCATTCCCATCTCAGCAGCAGAATTGAGTGGTTGTAACAGAGAGCATCTGTCCCAAAAAGCCTAAAATACTTACCATCTAGACTTTTGCAGAAAAAGCTTGCTAACCCCGGTTTAGAAATCAGAAACTTTAAAGATTAGTTTATTAAAATTAGAGAATTTAAGTTTAAGCCGTGACATAATTCTTTTTTGGTATTTTGCTATTTCTTCTTGAATGACATTATTATATTGCCACCAAATAATAGGTAAAAAGAAATAGGATTCAGCTTACCCTTTAGGACAGAATTTATTGCAAACAATTCCAGTGTTTTTATTAAATTACCAAACATAGTTATGGAGTTTCTTTCCCTGGAGTTCTTTTAAAAATGCAATTTAACCTAAACTCTGTCAAGGAACAGAAGTTGAACATTGATTAGATTCTTAGTAATTTGGTAACCAAAGTAACGTGCACTCTTTCTCAGGTTCGAAATGTGAGGTGCATTAAATGTCACAAATGGGGTCATGTCAACACAGATCGAGAATGTCCTTTGTTTGGTCTTTCTGGAATCAATGCAAGTTCAGTTCCCACTGATGGCTCAGGTAGGCATTAGACATAATTTATTTGTTTTGGAGTGTATATCAAGGACAAACAAGAAAAGATAAAATAATGTTTTTCTTTATTCTCTCTGGGTATTTTGCTTTATTTGGGTTTGTTGTGTGTGTGTGTGTGTAAAACATTCTCAAAATCTGATGATTAATGGGAAATTCTTATCATATGTGTTGAATTTGAAATACTGTGTAATAGGATAAAGTTGAATTTTTCCAGCCAAAGGCCCTATGAAGTTAATTTTTAAAATAACACATATTAGCTGGGTGCAGTAGTTCCTACCTGTAATCCCAACACTTTGGGAGGCTGAGGTGGGAGGATTGCTTGAGCCTAGGAGTTGAGACCAGCGTGGGCAACATAGTGAGACCTCATCTCTACAGAAAATTAAAAAATTAGCTAGGTATGGCAGGGCATGCCTGTCGTCCTAGCTACTTGGGAGCCTGAGACGGAAGGCTCGCCTGAGCCCAGGAAGTCGAGGCTGTGGTGAGCCAGAATTGTACCACTACATTCCATCCTGGGTGACAGAGTGAGACCCTGACTCAAAAATAAAAGTAAAAGTAAGATATATTAAACATAGTTTGTCAGGTTAGTAGCCTAAAAAGTGGAGGGAAAAATGGTTATTTCCCATACTCATATCCTTCTGGATTGTAAAAATAGACTGTACTGAAAGCCTCAGCTGGCTGGGCTTGGTGGCACAGCCTGTAATCCCAGCACCTTAGGAGGCTGAGGCGAGTGGATTGCCCAAGCCCAAGGGTTTGAAACCAGCCCGGCAGCCCAGGCAACTTGGCGAGACCTCGTTTCTACAATAAATCAAAAATTAGCCAGGCATGGTAGTGCACGCCTGTAGTTTCGGCTACTTGGAAGGCTGAGGCGGAAGGATCGCTGGAGCCCAGCAGGTCGACACAGAGGTAACCGTGAGTGTGTGTGGCACTGCACTCCAGTCTGGGCGATGGAATCAGACTCCAACTAAAAAAAAAAAAAAAAGCCTCAGCAATCATTTCTTTTTTTTTTTCAGATTAGAAAGTAATTTTAAGAATTTGACCAATTATTAAGTTTAATACCATCTTTTTAATGGTGTTTTAGAGGTCAGAATGTGTGGAGGAAGTATACAGACAGAATATTGTGATTGACTTTTTAAAAACTCCTTATTGCTCTAAATCAGGTTAAGAAACCACTTTTTAAGTAAAACTTTTCTCAGTGTAAGACAGTATCGATAATAGACTTTGGTCTGGCAATCTCTGACCAAAAAAAAAATCTCACTAATGCCACAATCCAGATACTCTTAAAAGCCCACATACCTAATGCACCCTCCTCCCTTTCCCCCACCTTTTTTTTCAGAGAGAAGGAGGTGATTCACATCCCCAGGGTAGGGAAGGGGGCCAAAGCTTAAGAAAACGTGCCCCGGCCATAGCTCAAAGAGCACATGGCCACACCATAGCTCAGCAAGGCAGTGGCCAATCATTTCTTTTTAGTACAAAGATGAAGACAAAGTTGACTATGCTAAAATGGTTTTTACTTGAAAGTTATTTACCTTCCTGCATATTACTGTCTGCTTAAGAAAAATTAGTCTAATTTGGTTTGGATCATTTTGGTTCTTTTTCTATAAAGATACTAAAACAGAGAAATTTTACCCTAAGTGTATCAGTGCCTTGCCTTGTTAGTGTATTATTGAGACAGCTGCACTAATCCAACCCTAACTTGTAATAGATCATAATAGAAATAACCTGCTTAACCCTGTAATTTAAGCAAGTCATGTCACTTTTATGAGCATCAATTCCTCATTTAAAAATAAGAATGATAGTATAACTCAGAGATTTTCAGCGTTTTTAAAGCAGCTGTCGAATTTTTTTTTTTAAAGAAGCCTTACATGAAATCCCAGTATATAGAACATACAAAAAGCAGAGCTGCTCTACTGAAGTGGATGCTCTGGGCATGAAGCTTCATCCTCTCAGCTACCCCCTACCCAGGCCTCTGCTGCACTCCTTTGACTTTCACTGCTACCTCATCTGAGTCCAGGTTCACCCCCAGTCAACAAATAATCTTCAGCCTCTGCTCTGTAGTTAGAGAACTTCTGTCCTCTAAGCCATATTCAGGCTGTAGGATTCAAGATGCCAGTTCTCAGATTAGTATGAGTTTAGGAATTTGACCAATTATTAAGTTTAATACCATCTTTTTAATGGTGTTTTAGAGGTCAGAATGTGTGGAGGAAGTATACAGACAGAATATTGTGATTGACTTTTTAAAAACTCCTTATTGCTCTAAATCAGGTTGAAAAACCACTTTTTTTTTTTTTGAGTTGGAGTCTCACTCTATCGCCCAGACTGGAGTGCAGTGGCCGCTCCCAGTCACCGCAGCCTCGACCTGCTGGGCTCCGGTGATCCTTCCACCTTCCAAGTAGCCGGAATTACAGGCATGCGCTACCACGCCCGGCTGATTTTTTAATTTATTGTAGAGTTGAGGTCTCGCCAAGTTGCCCAGGCGGATCTCAAACCCGTGAGCTCAGGCAGTCCACTCACCTCAGCCTCCCAAAGGCACGGGATTACGGGCTGAGCCGCCGAGCCTGGCTGAAAAACCACTTTTTAAGTAAAACTATTTGCTCAGTGATGAGACAGTATTATATAGACTTTGGTCTGGCAGTCTCTGACCAAAAAAATCTCACTAATGCCACAATCCAGATACTCTTAAAAGTCCACATACCTAATGTACCCTCCTCCCTTTCCGCCACCTAACGGGTAGAAGAAGGGAGAACAGCCCCAAAAAGAAATAGAGCCACAAGAAAATGGAGTATGATGAATCATATACCAAAACCCACCTGATCAAATATTTCTGACCATGTACTTGATTAGTAACAGGGACTTGTTCTGTCTGAAAAGCATAACCTGCTTTCTGGAAGGGATTGTATCTTTCCCGTCTTTTCCTTCTTCCCAACCTTGTAGTGCCCTTACAACTGTATGACTCACGGGTTGACTTGGGACAGGCAGAAGGTAGTAGTTGTCTTTGTTCCTCAGTCTTGTCTTACTCTAATCCTGCTTCTAAGAAAAGGAGTAGGATAAACTCTAGACTTAGCCCTTCTTTTATCCCATTGTACTCAGATGTCACCTCTGAAGGGACATTGTAATTTATTAAACCACTCAGATGTCTCCTGTCAGGGGACATAAAGAGATTGCTGGTGATTATACAGGACATGCAAGTGCAAATTTTTCAAAGACGTATGTTTCTTTGAAGTTTTCAATTCAAAACTGCACAAAAAAGCAAATAAAGAGATGGAATATATACAGAGATATACGTAAAAAGAAATCAGTTGGTGTTACCTAGAAAGAGAATTGTGTGAAGTGCTTTCATGGTAGTGCCAACACTTCTTTGTAACAGAAGGTAGCGATAAAGAGCTGTTTGCATAAGAAAGGCAGCTGTGGGTATACCCTTTGTATCATATGACATAACTTGAAAAGATAGGTAAGCAAGTTACTGTAGCCTTAAAAGAAAGACTTTTGAAGTTGAAGGCAGGTTGTTACCACACATAAAATATGAGATATAAAATTTTGATTTTTTTGGTCATAAATAAGTTTCTCAGTGTCCAAAATTCCTTATATGCAACATATCATTGCAATAATTGGTTTCAATGCTATACTATTTAATGTGAAGTGATTTGTTTTTTATATTTCATAAAAAAGTGTGGTTGAGTTGCAGGTAGATGATCTGCAAGTTGTCTCCGAGTGCAAAGGGTTAATAATCAATAGACTTGATTTCTCTTGAGTCTATATTGAATATCTACTAACAACAACCAAAAGAACCTGTGCCATTTGGTTAACGTATTTTCTAAGAGTATTGAAAACAATGAAGTAGCCAGGTATGGTGGCTTATACCTGTAATCCCAGCACTTTGGGAGGCCGAGGCCGGAGGATCACTTGAGCCAGGAGTTTGAGACCATCCTGGGCAATATGGTGAAACCTCTCTACAAAAAAGGAAAACATTAGCTAGGTGTGGTGGTGTACCTGTAGTCCCAGCTACTCAGGAGGCTGAGGCAGAAGGATCACCTGAGCCCGAGAGGTCGAGGCTGGGGTGAGCTGTGATCATGACACTGCACTTCAGCCTAGGCAACAAGTGAGAGACCCAGACTCAAAAAACAAAAATTAAAAAGATAACAGTAAAACCCTACAATGCCCACAATGATGTGAATTCAGATATAATGAGGCTAGTTATGACTCTTCTCCTCTCCTATTTATTAGTCTTATAATAACTCAATCTCTCAGTTTATACAATTGAAGTTTTTGGACCCAACTTATAGTGGAGTTTTATTGTAGTACTATTCCTCAGTCAAATGAAACTTTTTAAAATAAAATGAACAAAGTAGAAAAAAATGCTCAAGTTTGTGACTCCTGTCAAGTTTTAACATATATGTAATCAGACTAGAGAAGTCTGCATAGCAGTGGTTCTTTCTTTCTATCTAAATAAATTGAGCCTTGGGGTGGGAGAGGGTGAAAAGCATTACCTTTGCTGAAATCCTATAGTTTCTCTGCATGAAGTTGATATTCCTGATATATAAAATGTCAATATGAAAAAGATGAAGACAAACAGAAAGGAGCTAAAGACATAAATATAGATGGTTTACAAAAGGAAGAATTCACATGACCATTAAATAGGAGAATATTTTCACCAGCGTTAGTAACCAAAGAAATGAAAGCTAAAACAATATTTTATCTTTTTTGCCTGCCAAATTCAGTAAAGATGTACAAGATCTGTACATCCAGTGTTGATTCCAACACATGTGTTAAAGTGAACATTTTAATTCTCTGTTGATAAATTAGAGCAACCTTTCTGGAGAGCCATTAGACAAAACATATCAAAAGCCTGAAGCTCATGCATATTCTTTTACCTAGAAATATACCTTCTAGTAATTTATAATTAGAAAGTGATAAGAGAGTGATAAGATTTATAGTAGTAAAAGATTGGAAACAGCTCTAAATGTTCATCAGTGGTTGGTAAAATAAACTTA